TGTTAGTAAAACAATGCAGCATCCACTTTCCAGCCAAAACAGCAGCCAACTAAAACTTCATCAAATTTCCAGCAACCAGCCATCAAAAAACCATTAAGCAAATAAACCAAAATTTAAAACTTCAGATTAACATCAGTAACTAAACAGTAACCAAGCAGTAATCAAATCATGAAAAATTCAAAAATTCCACCAGAATCAACTATGTAGCTTTGCAAACTTCAGCAGATGGTGTAACTGTCAGTTTCTCCTGTAGGATTGCAAATCTGGATAGTGAAAGTGCTTTGGTGAAAATGTCAGCCTTTTGATACTCAGTGGGAACAAATTGCACTTTAAGTCTATTATTTGTGACTTGTTCTCGCACATAATGTGCATCCAACTCAATGTGTTTAGTCCTTCCATGAAAAACTGGATTACAGGCAAGAGAACCTGCATTTTGATTATCACACCAGAGGACAAGAACTTCAGGAAGAATGAGACCAATTTCAGAAAATAGGCTGCTAAACCAAGCAAGTTCAGTTGACCCTTGTGCAAGAGCCCTATACTCTGCTTCTGTGGATGATAAAGCCACAACCTTCTGCTTCCTTGAATACCACTGTAACAGATTGTTTCCCAAAAAAACACAACATCCACTGGTTGATCTCCTATCCTGAACACTATTAGCCCAATCTGCATCTGTATAGCATGTCAAATTAAATCTATGACTGGGGCTAAACTGAAGACCATAATCTGAAGTTCCCTTGAGATATCAAAGCAATCGTTTATAGGCTTGCCAATGTAGCTGAGTGGGGGCTTTCAAGAATTGACTCAACTTATTCACAGCATAAGAAATATCTGGTCTAGACAATGTGAAATACTGTAATGCACCAACTGTACTCCTATAAAGGGCTGAATTTTCAAATGGTTCACTATCTTCAAGGGTAAGATTGGTCCCAATTGCCATTGGAGTTGAGCAAGGTTTGCTGTCAAGCATGTTAGTTTTAATCAGCAAGTCTTTGGCATATTTCTCCTGTGTCATATGAAGACCTGACTTTCTTCTTGTCACCTCAAAACCTAGAAAGTATTTGAGTGAACCTAATGCTTTTAAAGCAAATTGATTATTCAGATCAGTGACAGTTTGCTGAACTAAGCTGAAATCATTGCCGGTGAGTAATATGTCATCAACATACACCAATACATACATTATCTTCTCATCCTTTTTGTAAATAAATAGACTCGGATCTGCCAAGGAATGTAATATTTGAAACCTTCGGGAGAGGGGATAGGAGAGGGTCCCCAAAGGTCTGAATATACCAGTTCAAGTGGTTTGGTGGCATGAAATGTGGATTTAGGATAGATGGACTGATGCATCTTGCCAAGTTGGCATGCTTGACAAAAGGTAATATCAGATTTTTTTTTTGTTTGTTTTTTTTTTTTTTTTATTTTTTTTTTGAGTATGGATTTATTAGGATGACCTAGCTGCTTGTGCCAAATCATAGGATCTGTCTTTTGCACAGGAAAAAGTTGAATAGAAGTATCAGTTTTATTGATAATAGAAGTGACACAAGTAGAGGTTACATTACTAGGTTCAACAACACCATTACATGCATTATAAAATTGACTCATAATAGGAGTACAGGATGAAGTACATTCATTGTAAACTGAAGATAACTCAGGTTGTTTATTCATAGGATTACTAGGATCCTTATTGGAGTAACAAGGAAATGAAGCAAGACAATGACTTGGCGTGGAATTGAATGATGGAACCAAGACTGCAGTAGACTTAAAAGTAGAGCAGGCTGAACTCTGAAGCTGATACAGGCCAGACTTAAGTGTTCCTTGGAGAAGAATGGCTTAGGAAGACTTGTCTTTTACCACACAATGATCAGTGAAAAACTCAATAAAGACATCATATCTCTAGTTAATTTAGAAACACTAAGTAAATTTTTGGTGATATGAGGAACAAATAAGACATTCTTAAGATGCAACAGGTTATTAACACAAGATAAACTACAGAACCAATATGTGTGATTGAAAGCAACTCACCATTTCCAACTTGAAGCAGCTCACTGCCCATGTAGCTGGAACTTGAAGTCAGTTGGAAAAAATCAGAGGTAACATGGTCTGTTGCACCAGAATCCATGTACCAAGCAGCGTCTTGGGCTGAGGATGGAGTAGCAATGTAATTGATTGCTGCAGGAGGTCGACTGTGATTCTGTGACTGAGCCATGAAGGCTTGATTATGCATCTATAAAGTACCAGAATTAGTGTCCAAACTGCCTGAAGAATGACCAGCAGCTGAGGGAGAGAATGACTGAAAATTATTCTGAAGCTACTTTGAGGGGACTGTATTGACACTCTATGAGTAGTGTTGAGAAGGAAAAGAAGTATAATGTCCTCCATACTTAGGGTCAGGTGGTCTTGAAAATACTCCAAGATTAAAGTTGCTCCTAATTAGGGAGTTGTGCCTAGTAAAATTCACATCGAAACGATGGTAACAGTTTAAAGCCAAGTGACCTGTTTTCCCACAGACTTGGCATATGAATCTATTTCTACCTCCTGCACAACCTCTGCCTCTGCCACCAGTATAGTTTCCAGAAAAATGTGGTGTGAAAAACTGAGTTTGCTGGGGTGTGTATATAGGTGAGTTCTGTGTATTTGGAAAATAGGATGAACTAAGACTTGGAGACTGTGATATAGGTGAGGATTGGTTGTTATATTGAGTAACACTACCTTGAAGTTGGGATGAAGTCTATCCAGACTGTAATTTTTTTTGCATCATTATCAATAGATAAATTAGCAATATTTGCTGAGCTACTATGAAATTCAGCATGTACCATAGAATTCATTGCACTATTTGCCTTTTCCAACCATAATTCAAACTTGTGCAAAACAATCTATGCTACTTGAACTGTTATAGGATCAACTCTGGATTCAAGCCTAGTGGTAACATTTACTATTGATGCATCATATTCGGAATCAAGTCCGTCTAATATGTAGTTTATCAGTTCATCATCAGAAATAACAACACCACTTGTAGACAAAATTTCAGCATATCCTTTCATCTTTAGAAAATACTCATGCATACTCATACTTTCTTTCTTTGTATTTTGCAAGAGACTTCTAACATGTAGTGTTTTTGCTCTAGACTCAGTTAAAAACTCCTTTTCTAGAGTGAGCCAGATATCATTGGCAGTTTGACATTTCGAAATTACAGAGAATATTGCCTCCAAAATTGAAGACAATAACCAGCTCATTAACAGTTTATCTGCTTTCTTCCAAAGAGTAAACTCTGAGTTAGGTTTTGTTGTTACCTATGAATTTGAGTTATCCAACTGAACTCTAACGAACGGAGCTGGACACAAAATTAGTCCCGTTAGGTGTTCTTCGAGGTCATGAGCTCCCACAGCAAAAAGAATTTGCGACTTCCAGAATCGGTGGTTATCGCGTGTCAACTTTGGTGAAATCACAAGAAGCGTGGATGAAGCAATTGACGAATGATTAGTGAAATTGATTGTGTCGAAAACCTCCTTAGAGCTTGAATTCTTGTTTGATTTATCAAGAGAGGATGGATTTGAAGAGGAATCAACCATTTCTGACGTTGGTCAGTGGCTCTGATACCAAGTTAAGAAAATAGAATTGCAGAGAAAAGAAACTTAGAAGAAAAATCAAAGCAGAGTGTAAAACGTGCGAGCTAAAACTTTACTCTTTCTTACTGAGATATTTTACATGAGTTCACTTATATAGGGTGAACAGTGAACAAAGTAAAGGTCAAAGTTTACATGGTAAGTCAGTAGAGTAAAAACAGATTCTGTTTTTACTTAAAACGAACTGCATGAGCTAAACTCTATTTTTACTTAAAATGAACAGCACTTAAAATGAACTGCATGAGCTGACGAACTGCATGAGCTGAACTCTGTTTTTACTTAAAACGAACTGCATGAGCTGAATGAGTAAAATAAGCCTAGCTCATTTTCAGTCTATCCTAACACTAAATGCCATTTTTCTTGTAGTGATATACATCATAATTGCTTACCAAACAACTTCTAACATGACCAAAGTCCAAACTCATCATCACCCTAAACAAATGTGGCTCTCATACCATAATAAACAGATTTTGTTAAAATTCACTCCCAATAGACTGCTCAAGGAAAGAGGGAGTCCAACCACATATATATACTATAATAACTTACCAAATTGACGATATAAAACAAATACAACTTTTAACACTTTTAATGCAAAGCACGGGTATAAGGGCCTAGGCCAGACCTTTTTTTTTCTATTTTGTTTTATAGTTAATTCTTATAAAGTTTAGATCTCATCTTTGTAATCTGATTGATGTAGTTGTTAATAGACAAAGATTTGTTTGTACATTTTAACATTATTGGTTGTTAATATATAAGTATTATATAATTATAGATTAATGTAACAAAAGGTTTACTTTCTTACAAGCACTATAACGTTTACACATTGAGTTTAAATCCAAAGTTAGATCTGGATTTTATGTGTTGCAGTATTCTTTTACTTTCTCACACAATAATATTATTCTGAAAACTTTGACAAAGTCAAAAATGAAAAAAAAAAAAACAAAAATTGTAGTAAAGTCTTCTTCATGTGAACCTCTAAGCAAACATATGCACAGCGTCACTTTTTTATTAATTAATTCATTAGAACAACTTTAGGTTTCGATTTATCCTTAATAAAAGTATTGGTTAATTTAATTAAAGAAACCCAATAACATAATCAGACCAATCATAACGTGCCACCTTACTGAATGATATATATGAATTATATTTCTCCATGGCACATTATATTAATGCACTACAAATTATAAAAGATATAATACTCAGTGAAATCATCACTCAACCTATGACCTCGTTTGCTGCTTGATCCCCAAGGAAATTCAACTGAAATAATTACTAACCAGGAAACTTAGTAGCTCATAACTCAAAGTCTCATCAAATCTCAAGATATAAATAGATGCTTAGTACTAGCTAGCAGATAACAAGAAAAGAAAGAAAGAAATGGATCGTGCAATATTTGAAGATCTTGATGTTGTAATCGTTGGTGGAGGCATCTGTGGCCTTGCCACTGCCCTTGCTCTTCACAGGTATTCATCTTCTTAATTTATAACCATCTTCATTTACAGAATTTGGATTATGTATTTATAAAAGACTTGTTTGGTGGGAAAAATAGAAATAAAACTGAAAACGTATGTACTGGATTTTGATCGAACTATATTGACATTTAATGTTGCAGAGGAAGGAATGAAGAGTAAGTGATGGAGAGATCAGAAGCACTGAGAACAACAGGAGGTGGAATTGGAATTCCGGCAAATGGGTGGAGAGCTTTGGATGAGCTTGGAGTTGCCTCAAAGCTAGGCTAAATGCGATTCTTCTTGAGAAGTATGTTTTAGTTCTTCTTTATCCGTTAATTTCGTAATATTTATTACTGATAAACGCCGCCCATACCAACCACTTCAATAAATTATGTTAAAAGAAGATAACATAAGGGAATTTTAACCCCCGAGTTTGGCCAACACAGAACCCCCTGTGGTACGATAATGATTCTCAACCCCTAACGTTAGTGTCTTTTTGTTACTTTTAATCATAGAAATGGTAATGACCTCAATACCCTCAACTGTTATGCCATAATCACAAACCCAACCCCTTTCACTTCATCTCTGGCAACACCCAACATTCATATTAAGCTTAAAATTTTCTTAAATTATGTAAAAATATCACAAATTTTAATAAGAAAATAGAAAGAAACTAAAAAAAATGGAAAAAATAAAAATAAAAAGGTCAACAAATGGAAAAAAATAAATCTGGAATAATGAAAAGAATAAGAATATATGAAAAAATAAAATAAAATGATCTAAGAATTGAAAAAGTTATTTTTAAAAAAAAATTAAACAAATTTGAAAGAAAATTTTAAAAAAAAATTGAACTTGGCAAATAATTTTTAGATTTTTGTAGTTTTTTTAACGTATTCTTAATTTTTCAAATCTTAATATAGTTGTTATCTTTTTATTTGTATTTTTTTTTTTAAGTTTAAGGATGTTGTTATTTAAGTTTTTTAATTTTTATTAGTTATTCACCTTTTTGATTTAAAAACGAGGGTTAATAAAGTTGTGGTAAATTAGTCAAGTTCAAAATAAATAAGGGTAATTCGTATTGAGTTGTTGGGTTTATGTGGTAGTTTCAAAAGTCTTTGGTGATTGGTGAATTTACAAGTTTTAGGGGTGTAAGAACCCTTATAATTATAAAATTTAGATGCATTTTACTCTTTTATCCTTGTTCCATTAAAACTAACCCAAAATCTTTAGAGGCCAGCAAATGGCAGGAAGTTTAGAGTAATTACCAGTATCATAATGGGATTTGGCAAAACCTCCGGGACTCATCTCTAAAGGTAATGTAGAATGTGGATAGATATTGCTAACCACTCGATGTGTAATCGAGAATTTTTTTTGTGCCACAAATGATGTATATATAGTTCGATATTGATGAGGTTATCCATAAAATCTCTATATTATAAAATAGGAATTTCATTTATATCAACATAACCTATACTAAAGACGTTACTGTTATATACCATGCATCAATGTTTAATTTTATATAATGTTATACATCTCTTATCCCAAGTTATAATTTAATATGATTACATATTTTTTTTTTAACTATAATCATTATAAAAGTACAGGGTTCGAGACATATTTCTGAATGGTAGCAAGCGACAAGAAGAATTAACCTCCTTCTCGTAAGTTGTTTTTTTAATATTAATATATATTTTCGCTGAAATTAATGTTAATTAAGAAACCAAATATATATTAATATTTTGAACTTTTCAATTAGCAGGAATATTGGGGAAGTTCGTTGTGTAAAAAGAAGTGATCTAATTGAAGCTCTAGCTCAAGATCTCCCACTTGGCACTATAAGATTTGGATGCCAAATTCTCTCTGTGAAATTGGATACAAACTCTTGTTTTACCATTCTTCATTTGAATAATGGTAATAAAATTAGAGCCAAGGTAATTACATATTCTTCGATACTAATGAAGCTCATAATAATTTCATATATCTATTCTATAACCCTGATGAACGTAACTATTTAATTTTTCTGGCCTCTCCAGAATAAATTTGTATCATATCTATATAATCATTATGAGGGACGTATAAAAAATTTATATGTGATTTGCAGGTGTTGATTGGATGCGATGGTGCCAACTCCGTGGTTGGCGATTTTCTTGAGTTGAAACCCAAGAAGCTTCACTCTTCATGTGCAGTGAGAGGATTTACATATTTCCCAAATGGTCATGGATTTGCTCATGAGCTAGTCCGAACAAGAAGAGATAACACTTTGTTTGGAATGGCTCCAGTCACTGATAACCTAGCTTGCTGGTTCGTTGTTCACCAATGGCATCTTCAGGGTACGCACATTTATGATTAATTAAGCTTTTAAATATTGGTTTATTTAACGATCATGATTCTCTCATCGTTTGAGAAAAATAATTAAGGTTGTAATTAATGTTTATAGATCGTTTAGGAGAAATGTTTCAAAACATGAGAGAATTAGACTTATAATATTCTATGGAATAATTAATGGATCGAGATTTTATCATTTAGAGTATTAATCACAACAAGGCAAAATTAATTCTCACATAAGCAATCCTAAAAAACTTATGTTTTCATGCATAATCACACATCATTAACTTAATTTCGATCTAGATAATTGTTTTCTTTGTTTCTTCTTACAAGTCTATGTATATCTCTGTACCATTCATTAAAAAAAATATTCTCAATTTTCTATAGGATAAAGTTCATTTTATGAATATCAGTATCTATAACTACAAGTCATATATAGGACATACTTAAAAGACGGGTAAGGAAAACCGTTTTAGATCATGACTAACTGGTAATTAATATGTTAGGATTCTTCAGATACGAATTTCAAGGATTATTTTCATTTAGTCTATTAATTTATTACATTAGCTTCCTACAACATTTTTATCATGTTAACTACAGATTCAAAGGTGTTCAAAGATCAAGAAATGATCAAACAGATGACTCTACAGTCCGTCAAGGGTTTCCCTTCAGAAAAGATACAACTGGTAAAAAATTGTGACATTTCTACCCTAACACTCACCCATCTGAGATATCGTGCTCCATGGGACATATTATTAGGCCAATTTCGAAGGGGAACCGTGACGGTAGCTGGAGATTCGATGCATGTGATGGCTCCATTCCTAGGCCAAGGTGGCTCATCTGGTATAGAAGATGCAGTTGTGCTTGCTAGATGCATGACAAGAAAATTAATTCAAGCCAATAATGATCCTAAAGAATTCAAAGGTCAGAAGATAATTGAAGAAGCAATGGATGAATATGTGAAGGAGAGGAGAATGAGATTGGTTAAATTATCTACACAAGCTTATCTTATTGGTTCATTATTGGATACTTCTTCATTGCTTTTGAAGTTGATAATTTTTGTGCTTTTGGGTGCTTTTTTTAGGGACCAATTTGGTCATGTTCGATATAATTGTGGCCATCTTTGAGAACTTGTTGCTTCTAGAGCTACCCAGCATAGTTTCAATGGTTGCACTTTCTAGTATCGTTTACAGCATCGTGAAGATACTAGAGTTGTGTTTATAAGTTTGTTGTTGAATGTTGTAAATTTATTGTAACTTGTCCGTAAAATTAATGGTAGTTAACATTTGAGTGCAATGTAAGTCATTATCTATCAATTGTTATAAGCCCGTTTTTACTTTTTTAATATCTATTGTTCGTTGTTACAAGTAAGATGTTGACATGATTTCAAGTCAAATTGGTAGTTGAAAATTCATGAATAATATCACAAACAATACACTTATAATATTCAATGATAAGCTTAAAAAAAAAAATGCTTACATAAATCTTCGGCATTAGTTACATCATGGTAAAGATTTTTAATTTTTAATACGAAAATAATATTTAAGTGCATTTTAGGTCACTATTTTTGGTTTTTACAAGTTCACTGTTGTGACATTAATAAATCACGACTATGCTATCAATTTGTTGATAAAAATGACACTAATACCACGACTACATTGTTATTAATTTGTTGTAGATAACTCAATATTCAAATTCAACAAACTTATAAGATTTTAAAAGTAAATTAAAGCATAATAATAACATCACTCAATAATAATATCATAGATTATCTTAAATTATTAATGAATTTTAAAAAAAAATAAATAAATAAATTTAAGTATCACTCCATCTCTAGTACTAGATTTCTCATGCAAAATAACTTCCTGACTGCATTCTAATTAATTGAACAATTCATATTTCATGCATATTAAATTCATACCGGATCCAAGTAGAATATTTTTTTTCTCATATGCATATATTTAATTATACAAGATTCCAATACAATATATATTCACAGGCACGTTAAATTCATGTAAGATTAAAGTAGAATTTATAATTACGCATTATAGTTGTCCAACAAAATTTCTATTTAAAATTTATTTTTTTGTCTCAAGTATGAGTTATAATTAAATTTTAAAAGATTATTTTCAACCAACTAACGATTTTGTTGATAAAAAGGGATGAGAATGCAAAGAACCTGAGTAGCAGGAGCAAACTAGAGTTTGGCAAAAGTGATGTCGTTTTTCCAAAGTTCAGACATCTTCATTTCACAAACAAGAATGCAATTTGTTAGAGTGTTTTGTTTATCTCAAAACTGTATAAAAGGGAAAGTTATTCTCTTATCTTTCTTTTTATGTTCTCTGAACCCTTGCCACTGTTTCACATGGTATCAGAGCATTACAGATCCTAGCTTCTCCCAATTTCGAATAAATAGCAGTAGAAGTGGCAAAAGATTTCCAGACTTGTACAGCTTCAATTCTAGCTTCCAGCTTACGAGTAATTAACCCTAAGTTGACAAGGAACAACTACAAATTTTGGAGTTCACAAGTGCTATTTACAATCGGCTCACATAAGCTAGAAGACCATCTACTAGTTAGGATTCCTTGTCCTTCACCAATTATTCTGTGTGATTCTGAAATTGAGACTGATCTAAGTAAAATCAGCAATGAAATAAAAGCTAGTAATGACAATATAAGTGAAAAGTTGAATCCAGCATATGTAATTTGGAAAAGGATAGACAAATCCTTAGTGAGCTGGTTGTTAGCTTCGATTTCTAAAGAAATGTTTAGCTATGTATCCAAATGCCATTTTTCCAATGAAATTTAGTTAGGTCTAGAAAATGAATTCTTAACAGACTCTAAAGCCAGGGCTCTTCATCTTAAGAATCTTCTTCAAACTACTCATAAAGGAAATATGATATTGGTGATTATGTCAAAAAGATGAAAGAGATTGCAGAAAGTTTGTCTACCAGTGGGATAGTTGTGTCTGATGGAGATTTGCTACAGTATGTACTTGATGGTTTAGGACCTGAGTATGATCCTACAGCGGTTACACTCACTTCTAGGTTAGAATCCAAAATTGATAATGTCACCTTACAAGAAGCACAATTCTTGCTATAGAAGTATGAAATAAGGCTTGACAAGTTTAATTCAGTCGACTTGTATAATAGCTCAATTAATCTTGCTGTTGCTAGTAGCTCTGGATGTTTTAACAGTCCTGGTATGTCTAGCCAATCTGGTCAGAGCAATGACAAAAAGAATGACCAACCCAATAATGTTATAGCTTCACTGATTTTACTTGGCAACCCATACTGTTCACAAACATATACAACTACCTCCTTTTGTCAAACACCATCTACTCAATATTTTACTACATCAACACCTTAAAATTACACTACACCTCAACCCTTCCCAACTTACCATAACACTGGTGGATTTCCCTCTCGACCTGGTGGCCCTATACCTTATGGAAAAGGAAGAGGTAGAGGATATTGCAGAGGTAGACTTATATGCCAAGTGTGCAACAAAGCTAGTCATTCAATTGTTCATTGCTACCACCGATTTAATTCCTCATATACCGGTGCTTTGTCATCTCCTAGAAACACAATTCAAGGTGCCTACGCTGATTCACCATCACAATACACTTATTCAGCTGGTATTCATCATTTTTCACATGGTGGATCCCAAGCTCATATGACAAAAGTCCTTTACTAGCCAATTTACAGTCATCATCAACAGAACTCCAATGCTCAAACTGGTCCTGGTCTATCACCCAATGCCACTTTTGGTATTCCCAGTCAACAGCCAATAGGCTCCAACCAAGCCAATTTTGTGTCCACTGGTCATGGACAACTTAGCTAACATGGTCATACTCTCACTGGTGGCTATTCTACTTCTGGGCATGGTGGTGGAACCCATAACAACTCAAGGATACCTCACAACTAACAAATACACTCAACAGCTATAGCTACAGCCTTTACCCCTACTAATCCCACATGGTACATGGCCTCAAGAGCCACGGATCATGTCACATCAGATCTTCATCAACTAAACATCTGAAGAACTATGAAGGTAAGGAGCAACTTCAAGTCGGTAGTGATGAGTATCTTTCAATTTCACATATTGGTCACTCTATCTTTCCTACTTTACATTCCAAACGTTTACACCTTAGAAATATCTTATGTGTCCCTAAAATCACAAAAAAAATTGCTTAGTATATCTAGGTTTACAAAAGATAACATTGTTGTAGTGGAATTTGATGATAATTGTTGTGTTGTCAAGGACAAGTCCACACGAGCAACTTTACTACAAGGAGGCCTTAAAGAAGGTCTCTATTAGCTGAATATTCCTTATTCTCCATAGCCTTTGCCTACTTATACAGCTCATTACACACCTTATTCACCAGAACACTTGCGTATCACTTCACAGCCTTCGAATCCAAGCCTAAGTCAGTCTGTTTCATTTTATGCTAATAAGTCAGACTCTATTAAGAATTTTGCATGCTCAGTTGAGTTGAATCTTTCTTACTCCATGTCTCAATGTACATAGCTCTACAATGCAAAGTCTACAATAGTTCCTGAAAATAATTTGCAGTGTACTCAAATTCCTATGAATAATATCCATGTTTATGATAATGTTGTTGTCAATTTTGAATGTGATATATATGACAATACTATTAGCGATTGTTTTTACCCTGCTCACTCTGATGATTGTTATAACAATTCTCCTATTTGTGATAATGTTGTTGTCAATTCTGAATGTGATATACATGATAATACTGTTAGTAATTGTTTTTGCCCTGCTCTCTCTAATGATTGTCTTAACGGTTCTCCTATTTGTAATAATGTTGTTGCTAGTTCTGACACTTGTGACACCAGTAAACTTGCTGAAGAATGTATCTATAGTAATGTCAATAACTATGTCAATTCTGATGCTTGCAAGACTGTTTGCTTGACTACTAATAAAGGCACTAACCAGTACATGATTTGGCATAAGAGGTTAGGACATCCTAGTCTCCTTGTTTTACAAAAAAATTGTGTCAAAATTAAAAGCTCTCTAGGTGCTTCCCCCACTCCTTTATTCTGTGATGCCTGCCAATTAGGAAAACTACATCAAAATAGCTTTCCTTTGTCCCAATCTCATTCTCTAGCACCCATTGAACTTGTTCACAGTGATGTGTGAGGTCCTGCCCCAATTCCTTCTATTGAGGGATTTAAGTACTATGTTCAGTTTTTGGATGACTTAAGTTGGTTCACTTGGTTTTTTCCTCTCAAAACTAAAGCTGAGGTTAAATATGTCTTTATCAAGTTCCACCACCTTGCTGAAAGACAATTTGGAACAAAATTGAAATATCTTCAGTCAGACCACGGTGGTGAATATAAAGCCCTTGTTCCTTATCTTCATGAAACTGGTATTCAATACAGGCACTCTTGTGCCTATGTTCACCAGCAAAATGGCCACAGTGATAGGAAGCATAGACACATTGTAGAAACATACCTTACCCTACTTGCACATGCCTCCCTATGCCATTGACCTATTGGTGGCATGCTTTCGAAACAGCAATCTATCTAATCAATAGACTACCTACTGCAGTCTTGAATAATGATACACCATATCACACACTATTTAGAAAAGAACCTGATTATGATTGCTTAAAAATATTTGGCTGGGCTTGTTTTCCTTAGCTTCGAAATAACAACAGTCACAAGTTTGATTTTCATTCTACTAAATGTGTATTTGTAGGATATAACTTAGTACACAAGGGGTATAAGTGTTTGAGGAATGATGGTACAATTTTTGTTACTCCTAGTGTGAAATTTAATGAGGATGAGTTTCCTTTTTTAATTGGTGATTTTTTTTTTTTAGTAAGGTTCTGTCATTGTCTGATAATTCACAGCCCAATTATGTTAATCCCTTACCTACTTACACCCATTTATTTACCTCAATTCATACACAATCTTCAGCACAATCTTCAGCTGACCCTAATCCTTTAATTTCTATGCCAAGTTCAGCTGACCTTGGCACTCCAGTAGTAATTAACCCTTGTGATAAGACTACTCCTTGCAATGTAACAATTTCTGATGACAACACAACAACAAAGTGTCTAACTCCAATATCTAATAGTTCTGATCTTCCAACTCATAATACAACCAACACACGATTAGCCACCACAACTTCAATCACACCTCCAAATACAAACACATAGCCCCATCATATAACTGCTCCAAACACTACATAGTCCCTACACACAGTCCAAACACTACACAGTCTCTACACATAACTTCAAACACACAGCTTTCAAACACAAGATCAAATACAAACACACAGCCCCATCATATAGCTACTCCTACACAGTCCCTACACA